GGAGCCCGGCAGCCGCTGACCAGCTACGGCCTGGGCATCCCCTACGACCGCATCGACACGGCCATCTGGTGGGAGCCCACGGGGCACACCTTCTTTTTCCAGGAGGACAGGTGTGTGCCCTCCCCGACCTGGAAACGCCCCCCTACCCCCAGGCCCACCCAGAGAGCACCCCGACCAGTGGGGACCACACTCCAGGCCCAGCAGGCCCACAGTCTGCGCTTTCGGTCACAGGTACTGGCGCTTCAATGAGGAGACGCAGCGAGGAGACCCCGGCTACCCCAAGCCCATCAGTGTCTGGCAGGGGATCCCTGTCTCCCCCAGAGGAGCCTTCCTGAGCAACGATGCAGGTACCAAGCCCAGCACGCCGTGGCCGCACTCACCGTCCCCTCCCTCACACACAGGGGGCGGGGCTTTCCGAGGCCATCAGACCTTGTGATGACATGTGTGGGGGACAGGGTTGTGTCAGGCCCCGGGCTGCTGGGAGCTTCTGGCGCATGACCCTCTGGTCCTCCCTGCATCCTCACCATCCCGGCTTACAGACGGACACACTCAACCACGGAGCTTGAATACAGGGCCCCAGACCCCACAGCGGGGAAGTGGTGGGGTCAGGACTCCCACCCAGGCCCGCCCGTGTCCAGCACTGGCGCTCAGAACAGCCCTGCTCGCCAGGCAGCCTCGAGCTGGGCTCAGAGCCATGGGATGGGAGTCCTCCCCGGTGCCCACTCACCTCCCTGGAAAAGGAAGCCAGATCTCCGTCATTATAACCGAGCGACAGGGAGCTGTGGCTTTGTTTCTCCAGGGTGGTCCCTGGCGGGCTTCAAAGAGCCATAGCCCTGGTTCTTAGGTTCCCTTTGGGCTTTGCCATTGCTCAGGGGATCACCCTACTTCTGTGTGCGATGCCAGCACTCTGCAGCCCTCTCACCTCCCTGCTCAGCAGAGTGTGGACTCACCCCGTGATTCTGGCGCCTCCTGGGGCTGACGGGACGTGGCCAGATGCCCAAGGCCGGAGAGCCGGGCCAAGGCGGTGCTGGGCTCTGTGCCAGGTCCGCTGCAGGCAGGCTGTGCGGCCTTGAGCGAGACACTGGCCGGTCTCCTGTGGGTGAAGCCAGACCTGGGACAGGGTACAGGGTCCCCTGACTGAGCCTCCTGCCCAGCAGGCTGTGGGACCCTGCCCCCTGCACTGCCCTCGTCGGTGTCAGCCCTGCCAGGAAGCACAGGTGCCCTTGACCCAAACCCTACCCCTCTCTGCAGCGTTTGGGTCAAGGGCACCTGTAATTGGGAAGAGGCAGATTTGAAAATGCTCAGGGAAGCAAGTGAAAGGAAGTTGTTCTGTGTGTTTTTAGTTGTGATTAATCCTCACCCGAGGATATTTTTCCATTGATTTTTAGAGAGAGTGGAAGGAAGGCAGAGAGGGGCGCATCGATGTGAGAGAGACACATCGATTGGTTGCCTCCCACACGCACCCAACCTGGGGCCGGGGATTGAGCCCTTAACTGAGGCACATGCGTGCCCTTGACCGGAATTGAACCAGGGACCCTTCAGTCCACAGACCGACCTTCTCTCCACTGAGCCAAACCGGCCATGACGAAAGGAGGGTGTTTAAAAGCCAGGCCCCCCTCTGACCCCTGCCCGCTTGCCCCGCAGCCTACACCTACTTCTACAAGGGCACCCGA